GAGGTCTTTAGAGAGCAAACAGAAGGGACTTCAGGGGGATGAATGGCTCTTCCTCTAAGTGGTGTTTATTTAAATGCAGGTAGGCTGGGTTTCTGGGCAGAGTTGCTAGGAATACCTTGCCATTTAAATGTTAATAGGAGGGTAAACTTGAAAATCCAAGTCTTCCGGCTCCTTCAGTCCTATTCACTGGCTCCTGTCCCCACCCTCCTGCAGTCCTTGTCTGCTCATTCCTCTCTACAGCGTGGAGCGGAGTGCGCTTCCTTCTCAGAAGGATGAAGAAGGCGCCTTTCCCAATTGGAACAGGACAGCGTTAAGCGTTGGGGTCGTGGAGTAAACATAACGGACTCCAGCCCAGACCATTCGTCACATTTGTCTTCACCTTGGTCTTTGCCTCAGAGCCAGACTCGACGTCCCTGGCTCTTTGTAAGGGGATTATGCTGACGCGAACCCTGAATGCTGAGTTTCCCAGGCCTCAGCGTTAGACGAGTTGATTCTGTTTTGCTTTTTTCTAGAAAGGCAGGACTGGCTGGGCAAAATAGACAAGCTTTGTAAGCTCCCGGGTACCAGCTACACTGGGAACACTCACCCAGAATAAGAAAGGGCCTCTTCCTTCTGGAAGACAGGAGGAGCACATAGGTTAACGAAGACAGAAGAAGGAGCCATGGACATGCAGAGGGGCAGTTGGGACTGACCCAAGTGCCACCAAAAAGCAACAAAGACTGGAGTAGTTAAGTTCATGCTTTAAGTTCAGATATGGGGAGTATGAAGTTCAGACAGCCTTCCTAAGGACCGTATGGGCCAAATTCTGTGTGAGTGTTCTATGTGATGGTAGAACTGGCAGGTCTCAAGGCCTTGGGTGGGTCAGGCACAGGCTGAAGGCTTTTCCTGACTCACGTGGTTGCAGGGGCTGATGAACCCAAAATCTGCAGGTCAGGTGGCAGACTGAAGGCTTCTTCAAGAACCGGAGGTCAGACCATGGAACAAATGCAGGTTAGAGAGAGGGCGTGTTCATGAGCTTTACCCGAACATCCATGGATAGTAGATGCAAGCCACACTCCCAGAGAAATGCACCTTCCAGCTGATTGGCTGCTCACTTCAGATCACTACATGGAGAGTGGTCACATAATATCCGAAAGACCACTGAGAATCCTGGCCTAGCCACGGTGACCCATAGAATTAAGCATCACAGATACAGACCCTGTCTACAGTATCTGCCTCAAAAGGTCAAAATGCCCATCCACAGATGAATGGATAAACAAAGATGTGGTCCTTCCATATGGGATGTTACTCAGCTAAAAAGAGAAAGTCCTAATACGTATGCCACGGGAGCTCTGGTGGTATAGTGCCTAAGGCATTTGACTGCTAACCAGAAGGCTGGCGGTTCAAACCCACCAGCTACTCCTCGGAAGGAAGGTTGGGCAATCTACTTCCACAGAGATACCACCTTGGAAACCCAAGGAAGGGGCGCTCGGAGTCGGATGCGACTCGACGGCAGTGAGTTTGGTTTGGGTTTTGGAATGTATGCTGCAGCATGGATGAGCCTTGACAACACGACGCTGAGTGGGCTGAGCCAGGCACAAAATGGCAAATACTGCATGGCCCCACTTCCATGACACATCTCAGAAGCAAACACAAAGAGCAGAGTTCGTTAGCGGTTACAGGGCCTGGGAGGAGGACAGTGTTTACAGTGACTGAGCTCTGTGTGGAGTGGCGGAAAAGTTTTAAAAGGAAGGGTGGGGACAGCAGCTCAACGCATTGAATGTCATTAATGGATCATAGATTGTGCACTTGAAAATGGTTAAAATGGAAACGTTTTATATTGTGTACCCTTAAAAAAAAGAAACCTCACTGCCATTGAATCCATTCCGACTCATAGAGACCCCCTTTGGGTTTCCGAGGCGGTAAATCTTTATGGAAGTAGATTGCCCAGTCTTCATTCCACGGAATGGCTGGGGGGTTTGAACCACAAACCTTCTGGTTCACAGTCAAATGCTACGTTACCAGAGCTCCTTTGTGTCCCTTTAGCAACACTTTAAAAAGTTGAGATGTATGTGTGGTAATTAAGGTTATATGTCACCTTGGCTGGGCCTGGTTTTGAGTGTCTAGGTAGCTGGATGTAATTATTCCCCATGATGAGATTAGTAATCAACTCCATGGAGCAGCGGAGTAGCTGTCTTAGGGATGTGGTCTGCTTCCGGTATAGGTAAGGAGAAGCTTTGAGAAAGGTCCCTGCCGGTGTTTGGCACGCGTGGACCCTGCGTGTAGCCGAGGCTTCGTTAGCGGCCTGCCATGTTTCATGCCAATCTTGGGACTGTCGCTGGACAGTCACTTAACTAGTGATCTGCCGTGTTGTTTGGTAATCTTGGGACTGTGCCATTGTTATTTGTCAACCTGGGGCTTGTCAGCCTCAGCAGCCAGCAGCTGCCTGAGTGGGCCAAGAGCAAGAGGCAGAGCTGAAGCCCAAGGTTGAGGGGCCCACACCCAGCCCCTAGAGCCTGGCACTTTGAACTTGGACTTCTAGCCTCCTGAACTGGAAGAGAATAAATCCCTGTTTGTTCAAGCTGCCCATTAGTGGTATGTCTGTTAGAGTGTCCCTGGGGGACCCAAACAGCAGGCATGGGGAAGACGCGACTCTGTGCCTGGCACTAAAGGAGTATCTAATGAACAGCAGCTGATAGTGTTATCATCACGGGTGTGCGCATGAGTGTGCAGTCACCGTGGGGCCGTCTCTTCCCAGGAGGCCAGGTTGCGTGGGCCTGGCTGGATGGGTGGGCTGCTCCAGGTGCTTCCAGCCACTCCTAACCCCTGTCTGGGCTGGAGCCCCGACCAGAGTTCCTGGCTCAGACGCTCACCCCAACCCCTCTTCCCACAGACCTGCGCAGAATGACAGCCGGCTTCATGGGCATGGCGGTGGCCATCATCCTCTTCGGCTGGGTCATCGGGGTGCTGGGCTGCTGCTGGGACCGAGGCCTTATGCAGTACGTGGCAGGGCTGCTCTTCCTCATGGGAGGTAAGGCGGGACTCTGCAGGGGGGTGTGGGGAGCTCCTTGAGGTCCTGGAGCACGAGGCCAGACTTGAGGAAGGGGAGGGTCTTGTGGGGCCTGGCTCTCAAGGCTGGGCTCATGGAAGGGAGGGCCCTGGAGGGTCTGGCCCATGAGGTCAGACTTATGGAGGGGAGGGCTCTGGGGGGGGGGCCCCGGCATGCGAGGCCAGATGCTCAGAGTGGGAGGGCCCTGGAGGGCCTGGCACACCAGGCCAGGACTGGAGTGGGACCTTCACACGCATTCCTTCACCCGTGCGTGTCCTCACACGCATTCCTTCACCCGTGCTTGTCCTCACCAACCTCCCCGAGTCTCTCGGCCACTGAGCACAGTGCTCACAACTGCTGGCACAAAGGAGATAAGATCTGGTCCTTCTCGAGACCTGACCACTCCATGATGCAAAGGAACCTGTCTCCGTGAAGAGAGACACTTGTCACAGTAGCCATGTGGCTCTTGGGTATGGTGTGGCAGAGCTGGCCAGCAAGGAGGAAGCAGCCACCAGGAAGGGCCCACCATGGTCCATGCAGGTCCTGCACTTGGGTGTTTCGGGCAGGTGCCCCCAAGGCCTGTCTTCATCCTCGGTGTGGGGCCCAAGGCCACTCCCATCTTCAGATAAGTCAGTGTGAAGGGGTGGGTTGGGACTGGGCCCTCTCCTACTCATCACAGCTGTGACCATAGGACCAGTCCCAGTTACTGACCCAGGGACTATACCTAGGAGAGCGATAAGGCCCTGGGGGCCTGTGTCTCGCCATGGGATTACAATCTTCATGTGCCTCTTTGGTCCCCGAAGAGCTAGCACATGGTCAAGGTCACCTGGCTTATATCTCGGTCAGAAGCTCAAGTTAACCACTGGGTTGTATCCCTCACAGCCTCTCCTCAGGGAAGCCCAGATGGATGAAGTGTGTGGAGCTGGGTCCGGGGTTATTGGGCTAGGACAGAGGGAATCAAAATTTCGGTGGTAAGAAGGCCAGGTGAGGTGTAGACATGGAGACAGGTGCCCACTGGACCTCAGGAGCCGCTGGCACGTGCCCCCGTGAAACACCAGCTCCGGGGCCAAGCAGAGGTAGAGGTGGGCTGTGGCATCACTGGGTCTGCATCTGGGCTGCACTGGGGAGAGGCAGGACCCTCACTCTCGCTGTACGAAGATCACTGGCAGAAGCCACTTGGAAGGGATGGAGGAGATCCTGCATAGAGAGGGAGAACAATGTGGAACAAAACTCAAAATCATTTGGAGGCAAAAAAAAAAAAAAAAAAAAGAAGGTGGGGACCAGGTTTGCTGGTCCAATAGAGCCTGGTGGAACCACTGAGACTATGGCCCCTAGCTGCCCTTCGGGTCTGGAATTGAACCCACAACTGTGGTTTCCAGCCAAACAAAGTACAGGCATGTGAGTTAAACATTTACCTCAAGTAGACACACGCCCTGGAGTGAACAATGATGGGAGAAGGAAGGGCTGCTTATGCACAGGGAGATAGCTCAGGGTGCAGAAGAGTATGAAGGGATGGACACTGGGAGGAGGCAACTATGGGGAGGAAGTGGGAGGGGAGCTGCTGCATTGTAAATTTTGGTCAATGACATGAGACAAAGTATATGTGAACTGCTGTGTGAAAAGTGAATTTACTCTGTAAATCTTCACCCAAATCCTAACAAAAAAGAAAGAAGGAAAGAAAGATCACTGGCAGAAGTGAGTGATGGGTGGAGGTGGGGAGAATTATGAGGCCCAGCTGGGGCCTGAGGGTCACTCTCACTTCTCTGAGGTGCAGCCAAGGACAAGCCAGACTCTGCAAGGATATTCTTAGGCTGACCAGACTCTGCCCTCAGCCAATGCCCTGCCGCAGCTGCTTCTGTTGGGCCCACTCCTGGGTTCCGGCAACGGCTGGAGGAGGGAGGGTGAGGTGGCCGTGGCCGTCGGTCTCCACGAGTCCCCTCGTGAAGCAGGGCCACACTGGGCGTGAGCAGCAGTGGGCCTTCCTCCCCTCCCCGCAGAACCTTCCTGGGCGCAGTGTGAGACGGTAAAGTGGTGGCCTGTGTGTAGTGTGTCTCAGCCCTCGAGACTTTCAGAGGCTGTGGAGAGAATGGTAAGCAACTGGGCCTCGGGCAGCCGGCGCCCTGGACTGACAGCTTTCTCTCCTCCTTCCGTGGCTTTTGTGCCTCGTACTTCACCTGCCTGTCCCCTCAGGTGGGGGACAAGGCTTATACCTGTCCAGGTGCTAAATCTCCAGGCCCAAGCCACCCATCAACAGCTTCCTCCCGAGATGCTAATCCAGCTTCCTGAGAACCAGAGAGAGGTGATCTGACTGGCCCCCCACCTCTCCCGGCCAGCCCGCTCCCTACTGGTCAGTGTGGGCCAGCCGCTGGGCAGGATGGGTTAGTGGGACATGTCCCACCCACCTGAGACCTTGAGTGGGACCCTCCCAGGGAGTGTGAGGACAGACCTGCTCCCCACTGCTGAGGCACCTTCCAGAAGCCTGGGATTGTCTGGCAGAATGATAATCAGCCCTTCCCACAAGGCTGGGGTGATCTTTGCTTATCTTTACTGCAGTCGGGGTGAGCTCCTAACTCTGCTGATGCCAGGGTCCCGCCCAAGCAGGACATTGGGGTGACCCATGTGCATCTGGGTCAGAACCAACACACGTCAGCGTGCTCTCCAGCCCTGGTGTTCTGTGGTCCTTAGGACGCCTCGGCTGGTTCCAGCAGCTCCGATGAGTGTCCCTTCCCCGGCCTCTGTGAGTACTTTTCAGGCCCCATGCAGCCTGATAGTTCAGGGCTTTGTTTCGTTTCTCATAGACTTTAGTTTCCAAAGCAGTATTAGACTTACAGAAAAACTGAAATGATTGTACAGGGTTCCCGTGTTGCACATGTGTGTGCGTGTGCACACGCACACACACACACATGCACGCACACATTTTCCCCTGTTATTAACATCTAACATTAGTACGGAGCACTTATTACAATTTCTATTGTTGTTGTGTGCCTTCAAGTCAGTTCCGACTCACAGCGCCCCTAGAGGACAGAGGAGAAATGCCCCATTGGGTTTCCCAGGCTGGGAGCAGATCGGTAGGTCATGTCTCCTTCGGAGCAGCTACTGGGTTTGAACCACCAACCTTTTGGTTAACAGCCAAGCACTCAACCATTGTGATACCAGGGCTCCCTTTGTTACAATGAATGAACCTGTATTGAGACCTTATTTTTAACTGACGTCTGTAGCTTATTCATATTCCCTAGCTCTCATCTGATGGCCCTTATTGGTCCCAGGGCCCCATCCAACACGTATATACACCATTTGTTCTTGTCTCCTTAGAGTCTCCTTGGCCGTGACCATCTCTCAGACCTGTGTGGTGTTTTTCTCACCAGTAGGCTGAGAAGATGGG